TATATAAAAATATTTTATTTCCCGTCATAGAAACGTGAACTTTAAAGGTACAGGAAGTCAGAAGAGAAACTGCAGATTCTGGTTTCTGCTCCAGGTTGTTGGGAAAAACAAAGCATTTCTATTAACAGACAAATAAGATTATAGAGCGTACATAAATATATTATGCAAAAGAAAAACAAGGTATTTTCTGACATTTTTCAGAAGGTATTTGTTTGAATACATGTTCAGTGGAGACCCAAGATATTCAACTCCATGTTGATGTTTGGTTTTGAACTAATGAAGTTCTTAACCCGTGCATGATGCAACAGACTGTTTTTACAAATTCATTCATTCGCAATTCTGAAATCTCAGTGCAGACTAGCTGATGTGGCAGCAGGATGTGCAAGTAGCCACAACTGTAGCATACAAGCAGATTTATGAAAAAATGTCTAAATGAGCTATAACAACTTATGTCTTTGAAAGTGGAAAGGTCAATGTTCAGGGCTCAAACTCAAGTATTCTGGGCAACAGTACACATACATAATGATCATTTCCTGCCCTCACTTTGACTTCCTGTTGCGCACTTGCACTATTTCTCTTCTCTCCTTCAGAAAGCTTTTGAAAGCGCCGGCCTCTTTGCTTTCTTCTATGACTGTTGGGGAACAAGTGACATCGTAAACACAGGTGTTACATGGTGTGATAGCGATTATGGTTCTTTAAGGGCTATTTGAAGTATCCTCACCTGTGTGATCGATATCATCGGTATCGCTGTCTATGTCTTCCTCGGCTTCATCAGGGTTGCCGCGGGTAAAGATGAGGTCACTGGGCCCACCAAGATCTGGGGCATCTGAAGAATAAAATAACCAGATGTTCCAGTGTGTACAAGGGCACATGCATACAGTACTTTTGGAGACAATGCTAATGAAGGATCTCCATCAAAGACCAGCTGATTGCAGAAAATGATATACATCTGTTCTAAAAGGCAATTATTGTAAAATATACACTAGGGCTGTCAAAAATTTTTTTTTAATTTCGAATATTCGTCGAATTTAAAATAAAAATCCACAATTTTAGGTGTGCGTTAAGGAGGCAGCCTTATCTGCTGCGTTGCTGATTACAAATATTGTGGGGAAAGAGAACATCAGTGCGGAGAAGATCTTGTTTACGTCAAAACTGAAACCAAGCCGTTCACACAGAACGCATATTTTGCGCATTTTCTAGAGGGACATCTATCACCATTGCACTCGCGTCTCGCACAAGAGAACCGCATGTTTAGAAAGCCATGTAAAAATTAATGCAAGTTCAACTTTGAAAAAACATATCTCGAGACGTAATGGCGGTTCCCCCCCCCCATCCCACTGCAATTCGTGTTTTTAAATGAAAAATGTACTCTGTGTGATTGGCTTTCGGCCCTTTGAATTAAACTATGAATACATGATGCTGTTTAGTTTGTAGTTGTTTAATTATAATTGGTTTATAAACATTATGCACTTTTTTTCACAGATAGTCATGTTATCTTATGCTCGATGCGCCCTCTTGTGGCCTCAGGAGAAAAGCCAAAAGCTTTTCTTTACCCTAACTGAAATTATGCATTTTAAATTCGAATATAATTTGAATTCGAATATAATTCGAATTTGGATAATATTTAAGCACAAAATTCGAATTTAGTTTTTCAGCCATTTTGACAGCCCTAATATACACTATTGTTCAAAAGTTTTGGGGCCAGTAAGTTTTTTTTTTCTGCAAGGATGCATTTAATTGATCAAAAGTTACATTAAATACATTTATAGTATGTTACACAACTTCAAATAAATACTGTTCTTTTGAACTTTCTATTCATCAAAGAATCCTGAATAAAATGTATTACAAAAATATTAAGAGCACAATCTTTTTCAACATTGATAATAATATGCAATGTTTCTTGAGCAGCATATTCAGCATATTAGAAAGATTTCTGAAGGATCATGTGACACTGAAGACTGGGGTAATGATGCTGAAAATTCAACTTTGCATCAGAGGAATAAATTACATTTTAAAATATATTCAAAAAGAAAAGTTATTTTAAACTGTAATATTTCACAATATTGCCGTTTTTATGAATGCAGCCTTGGTAAGCAGAAGAAACAAAAAAAATCTTACCAACCCTAAACTATTGAGCAGTAGTGTTACCATACATCTTACCTCACTCGCTTTTCGAAACAAATTTATAAGATGTTTGAAAGTCGTTTTTGTTTTCATTTAAAGATCAGATTTTACGTTATACATGAAGAATTCAAAGTTGATTAATGACTTTGAAATATCTTTTTTTTTTTTTTTAATGAACAGAGACGTGACCGTTCTGAATGAATGTACCAGTAGGAACTGCAGTTTCCATGGGAACTGCTCCCATGTCCTTCCGAAGGCGTTCCAACTGCTCCTGTTGTTTCTGACTCTGAGCTTCAGCCTGAGTATGAGATACACGCATTAATAACAGTCAGGCTTGACCTTTTCTCATGGAACATGACATTTTTATTTGCCTTTCAAATGAAAAATAATAAAAGCGCCAACAAAAAATATATAGTTTAATAAGTGATAAGGGATATTTGTGGAATGGCCAGTTGATTTATGACTAGTACATCAGCCCACATCAATGATTACTCACCAACTCTCTGTGCAGACGTTCATATTCAGGACGATACTCTCTGCAAGACAGTAATACTCATCAAATGTTTGCAGAAAAGCATTAATTTATCTTTAAACATATATGCATATTGCCCTTAACAACACATACATCACTATCATTCAAATTAAAACGAAACTGCTCCTATTAGCATTATAATAAACGAAGCTAGAAGTGCTATTAAAATGTGTCTTTTGACATTACATCAAATTCAGCTAGTTTAGAAAAAACATATACAGTTGTAAAATTTATTCAATATTCTAAAACAGTCCATTCAAAATCAATTTTACACCAATTAAAAAAAACAAGATTTTATTTTCATTTTTTATTCTTTCTGAAGTGCAGCTTCTTGGTCCATGCTGAGTGTTTTCAGTGTAGACAGCAGTGCTATTTTAGTATTATTTATATACTATTATAGTGTTTACTAACATTTTGAATTAGCTTTTATTTTTATATTTTTCAATTTAGTCATTTTGTTATGCGTTTTGTCAGTTTTATAATTTTTTTTTAATATATTTCCGTTTAGTAACTGTAGTGCCTCAAATGAATTAAACATTTTAGTTAGTTGCCAAGACAACATTTCAAATTTCAAAGTTTTTCATGTAATATTTATATTTTATTTGAGCTTCATTTCAATTAATGAAAACGATTTAAATAGATTTAAGCGATTTTTAGTAGTAGTCAACAATAACAACACTGGTAGACAGCCTAAAGCTATTGAGGTGCTATAGTCTGAGTTTGAATTTCTTTATTACACAGTGTACGTACGTTTCATACTCTTTAGCAGCATCTGCAACCTGTACAAACAGTTCATCAAGCCCAGAACCCGTGACTGCAGACACTCCGACAACCTACAGGACACAAAGAGAGTCTGTAACGCTACTGCAAAGGCACTTGACTGAGAGAAAAAACAACCTGTCACACAAGACTGATAAAAACTGAGCCCAACAATACATTTCAGACAATGCTGAACAAACATGTAACTCTAAGTATTATATGTTTTCTAAGCAATTAGATTTACATATCTAGAATATCATGAAGACTTAAAGCTGGGCTCTTCGGCTTGGGCCATTAAGCAACTATCTAGCAACCATCTAGAACATAATGCAGTCAGAGCTGGGAAGTAACTGATTACATGTAATCTGGATTATGTAATCAGATTCCAAAAATTAAGTACTTGTAATTAGAGTAAATTACATTTTAAAATACTCGTAATCAGACTACAGTAACGTTTTTATTGATTACATGATTACATATTATTCACACAATAGCAATAAATTATTCATAATTTATTGATTCTCCCTAATTCCTTTTTTCATCTTTGAAATGTTCCTTTCTAAAATAGCCTATCGCTAATATACATTCAGAAAGTCCAGTTTTGTGGAAGACACAGCATTTGACCACTGGATTTATAAAAATAATTTTAGTTTTAAGAAGTGTTTTCAACATTGCATCAGCTACTAATGCACACTAACACATTTATTTTTTATTATTTGAACTATCACTCAGTTGGTTATTTAATTACTATGTCTTTGGAAGGCTTTTGTCTTGCACTAATTCACATTATTTCTTATTTACTCGTAATGCAGACATTCCCAAACTTTTTGTCATTTGCACCTCTTTCACCTTATATATTTACTTGAAGCAGCCCTGAGATTTTAAAATAAGTATTTTAATAATTAAGTATCATATTTGCATGTTCACGTTTCTCTGACGTTGGTTAATGGTCACATGCCATGCAGGTAAACAAATAAAATATATAATCTTTTTTAGTAAGTGTTTTATTTTGATTGTTATTTTAAAATGATTTATTGTAATTTTACATTTTTATGATTGAATTAATTGTTAAACTTTTCATTAAATTCAAGAATCCCCTGCAGTTCCTTTACGAACCCCAGTTTGGGAAACCTTGATGTAATATAATGTTTAATGCACTTCATGTTGATAATTACAATTAATGGAATATATTTTCTTACTCTTTGTATTTTTACATCATTATGGTACAAGATTATCCTATTTAAATCAATGTGATAAACGAGTTTGGTCAAAAGTAATCTAAAAGTAATCAAAAAGCAGTCTGATTACAGTACCTAAAATGTGTAATGTAATAGATTACGTTAGTGCTGGGCGGTATGACCAAAAATTTATATCACGGTATTTTTCAAAATTATACCGGTTACTGAATGCAGTTTAACTGCACCAGAGCTTTAGACTCACCCTCAGGTTGGTGTAGAACTCATCAAGAACGAGACTCATAGAGCGGGTCAGGTTACTAACGTAGGACGTCTCCTGATTCAAAGCGTCCTGAAACACCTCAAAGTCCTGCATCCACTCCACCGCAAAACTGTGATCAATGATGTCGGTCTGATAAAGATACAGAAAAACACATGTTGTGTAGAACAGTTTAACATGATGAAACAAATGGCTTACACTGATTTGTTCCATTTAAAACTAAAAACATGCTCATAGGAGATGAGATTGCATTCTCCACCAAAGGCCTTATTAAAGGATAATATCTGCTGTTTAACCTTTTGAACAGAAACTGTATTCATATAAATTCAATAATAATATAAATAGTATAATAAATATATTTAATATGTGAATAATAAATACCAATAAACATAATTTGCCTATTAAATATCTTTTTTAATATTTATTTATAATTATTTATTTATATTGTTTTGAAATTAATATGAATAAAATAACTGCATACATCTAATTTGCTTGTACAGTATGTATCATCAAATGTATATATCAGTTATCAGTTGACCATTAAAAATTAGCATGACAGTTTTGACAGTATTATTTTTACCTTGTTCATGACGACTATGAAAGGTAGCTTGGTCTTGTAGAGAATGCTGTAGAAAAAAACCCCAAGATATTTTGGTAAGATCTACTGAAATCATGACATAACTTTCATTCTGCTGTTAACACTGAATTATACAGTGTGAATGTAACACTAAGAAGTGCAGAAGTACACTGTGCTCTCAACTTGAAAACAACATGAAAATGTTTTGTGCAGTTTTTATTTCCAAAATATTGCTTAAACAAGAAATAAAAAACAAGTCTCAGACACTGACCTGCAGGCGTAGAGCATGTTGGACATAAAGGTGACCGGATTTACACTTCGAGATGTGTCCATCACATAAATAACCACACAGGGAAAAGAAGAGGCCTAGAAAGGAAACTTTATAATGTTTTATACTCCAAATGAAGCAATGCAAATCCGCAGTATAAATAATCACGGCTAAGAGTAACAGTCACATACCAGTGCTTCAGTTATGATGGTTCCAGATGCAGACCATGTGAACACCTCTATTTGCCCAGGAGTGTCAATCAAAACATATCTGCAAACAATAATATTTCATGCATGAGACTGTAGCAATGAGCAAAATATATGGATATCACCAAATCTACTGAACACAAACTTACTGGTGGTTACTTTGCTTTTTCTCAATAAACTTCATGACCTAACAGAGGAGAGACAGAAAGCGTAAGTTAAAACAGAAGTATGTGGACGTAAAAGTGTAAAACAGTGACATCTATTGGATTTTTCAAGTGCAATACCTGATCAAATCGTGTTGAAAACAGATTGAGAGATGTGACGATTCCTCCATTTGGACCTAAGCCATATCTGTATGAGAGTCAAAGACAATCTGCTCAGATGAAATTAAATTAAACCAGTTTTCAGTCATTTGTGATTCAATGGATAAGGCTTTTTAAAAATGATTTCATAGAGAATTAACTCACTAAAAGTAATGTCTATCTAAAATAATATGAAAGCTAAGCATAACTGCATTACTTAAAAAATAATAAAAATAATAATAATAGAAACTCACTATGGAAATTTCCATGCATTTTTAAGATTTTAATATATGTAACTTGTCCAGGCCTGGAAATCATAATCTTACAATTCCCTGATATTTCAAGTTTTCCATGACAGTGGGCTTTGAAGAAGCTTAATTCTGTTGTAAAGTGAAGGTTCATGTTTAGTCAAACTATCCAAATAACATTTCATGCCTAGTGGCTATATGCATGATAATTATGATTCGCAGCACAAGACACATAATTTCACACTGAAAGGATACTGTTTCATGACTTCCTTGTAATTGACAGTGTCTCTGATATCTGTAAGGAAAAACACAATAAGACGTGATCTTTGACATTAATGTAATCAACAAGATGCTCACCAATCATGAACATGTATCCACAATAAAAACCAAAGATGTCTTTTTGTCCAGCGTTTTAATCAGTAAAATAACCCCGAGCGAAACTCACACGGTGCTGGTTCCAGTGCCCAATCTGTTCTATCAAAAGCAGATTGTGCTGGCATAAAGGCAGTGCAGTCAAACTACTCTGGACTTTAAAAATGTTCTCAAAACTTCAAGACTCATAAACATTATTTTCCAAATCTGTCCATAATTATTCTCTAACTCAGCAGTGGCAGATCCAGAGGGGTGTCCAGGGTCTGATTGGCCACCCTGGGTGCCACCTCAAAATTGAATATGCTTTATTAAATATAATATAATGCTAATAATAATAATGCTTTATTATATATAATTTAGATTTCATTTTCTACCTACCGAGTGAAAAACATTGCAGAGCAAAGAGGACACAGACAACACGCTGAGAGACAAGACAGAACAGGTTATTTTTGATAATAGGAAACAAAGTCTCAGCATTCAAATTCTGTTAGTTTTATTATGAATTTGGGAGCTCTTTAGTGGCGTGACAGTTCATGAGCGCTTCAATTAGCATGAAATAAACATGAATGAACATCTGAGGGTGTGTTGAAAGATACACTACTGAACGTATAGTGTCTCATGTGAATGAGTGTTTCAACCGCGGAAAGACAGCAGCTTGAAAACACTGTCACATAAAAAAAAATAACATGTACTTAATCGCAAGCGTGTTAATTATTCCAGAATAATTCTCACTCCAGGCTGAACTCATAAATTGGCAGCCCTGTTTGAAGTAAGCTGAAGTTTTAGGATTCCTGAACAACATTTACAAAATTCACTGCATAAGTTAATGTTAGATCTTTGGCTCCAACCGCTGGTTAATCAGATGACAGAAATAGGAGAAATAAGTTCCAAAATACTAACATTTGAAGTTACGGTAGGAATGTATAGCTAATGTGGGGTAATGTGAAGTAATCAGCAATTGTAGGATTTATTCATGCTTTTTTTATGCCAGGTTGGAGTTATACACTGATTTTCTGTCATGGTCTATGGACCCCCTGAATTAGCCTTGGCCACCCCCTGCATAAAAGCTCCGCCACTGCAACTCAGTTGGGTTTTAAAATCACTTTTATCTTAGATTTAGAATTTTATATTTTTATTTTATTCTAACAAACACAAAAAACATGCGTAAACTGGCAAGAGCAACTTGTAAAATCACTAAAATTATGAATTAAATTAGTTTGGATTTGTAAATTTGTTTTTAAAATGCCCCTATTATGGATTTTTTTAAATTTACTTTTCATGCAGCGTGTAACACAGCTCTTTTACTGGAAAAATAGTAACAGTGACATAACGTACCAATGTTGGCTGGAAAAGGGACCTCATGAACTGCAGGATCTAGATTGATAACATATGGAGGACTTTTCTTGGAGTGCAGGTAAACTGTGAGCCTCTGGTGGAACAAGAAATTATATATATTATATAAATTATATTATGTTAACAATTATAGCCCATCATAAATTAATTCAAGTTAATGTGTTTGGGATTTCTTTATGATCAGTCATAATTTGATTTTCTTATCAGAATTACTTAGAATCTTATTATAATAAAGTGAATGTTATTGAATTTGAAAATTGTGATATCATTTTACTGCTGTGTTACAGTCAATCAGTCTTACCTGCACAAAAGTTGTTTTTCCTGACCCTGCCATGCCTAAAACTATGAGACACACCGGTTTCGGTTCTGTGTTCTGTTCGTTAGATGAACTCTGCCTCGGTGTATCTCCATCTTCTTTACATTGATCACTTTCATATGAAGCGCCATCGCTTACGTCTGCTGCTGCAGTCGCCATGCCTGCTACTACTGGACACTTACCGTAAAGAAATGTGTACTGGCGTAAAATGACGAAAAACAAAACAAAACAAAACAAACAAACTGTAGTTATTACACACGACCCCTAGATGGAAACAGATTCAATAGGATTTGTTTGATTTTATAAAACGTGACTGACTGAGTAGGATGAGACATTAAAATAAATGTCTCTTTATTTATTTATAAATAAATAAATGTGAAAGTGTCTGGATCATATTGCATTAAAAAAAGTGAAATTATTAGTGTTTGAATTACTTAATAATAACAATAGTAGTAATACTACTAGCATTCTCAATTACTGTTATTCAGACCATTAATTTTTTTGTTATTATTATTTTCATAACAATTTCATGTGGATAAATACAACTGGAAGTAGATTAGAAGTATTTGTTGTACTGAATTTAGTATTTGAATTTTAAAAAAGGGTCTTGTCAGGATGATTTCCTTTACTTATTATAGTTTTTTTCCCCACATTACAGTAATGGGAGAGTGCTTAATTCATGTCTAAAGGTCTAAAGTCATGAAAATATCTAAATTTAAAGCCTTTTTATTTTGATTTGGGGGTGGAATATGATTCAACTGAGATTCACCTACCAAACATTATTTCCATAAATAAACGTGACATATGTGTTGTGTTTTCCCTGATACTGCTTTTGTCATTATCTGAGAGACCTGAATCAAATCAAAAGCATTTGCTGGCACAGTTTGTGTACGCTAAAAATATCCTATATCTTGTCTATATCAACACAAACATGAACCCTTGGTGTTTTTCCATTTGGCTCTGCTTTTCCTCATGTCAGGGCTGCATTAACACAGACTGAGTCTTCTGCGGGCAAACAGCTAGTGTGCACAGGGCCTTCAGTTGGTTTACACTAGACATTCCTCTGTAAGAACAGAACTGTAGAGAGCCATGTTAACATGGTCTGTGTGTATCATTTAACAGGTTTATTCAACTGTGTCTGTCGACGACAGTTTCTTTACATGAAGGTGTCAGGGCTGGTGGCTCTGGATAAGCTACAAGACGCTGTGTAAGCTTGCCTCATATTCTTGGAGTAGGAGTAGACGGACTACATATGACATCAAACATGGTGTGTGCTTGCAAACATTTTATATGCTACACTTTTGGAATAACTAATAGCCAACCACTCAGAATACTGTCAGTAAAACCGAGAGAAAAATATTCCAGTGTTTAGCACTGTTGACACTTTCTTCAACAACCATGACAAACTTTGTTCACATTTCAGCTGCTCCCTTAGTAGTCTTTTCATGGTGATTCTGATGACAGATTTATTATTGTTTACTGATCTCACCTTTAAAGAGTGTTGGCAAGAGTTGTCCATACACTCTCAGAAAAAAAGGTACAAAAGCTGTCACTGGGGCGGTACCTTTTGCAAAAGGTACTAATAGGGACTGGGAGGTATTAATATGTACACTTTAAGTACAAGTATGTATCATTATGGTACTAAAATACACCCCTTAGTGGTAAAGAAGGTACAAAGGTGTATCTTTTGAAAGGGTCTGTCCCAATGACAGCTTTTGTACCTTTTTTTCTGAAAGTGTAACTGTTGTTACTTGGTGGATTCTGTCTCATGTTGAGGACTTTGATGTCTCTTTTGGCCAACATTCAGCATTCGGGTGAAATGTCAAGAACATGACTTGCCATTATCTACTGGATTGTTTTATTCCATAAATAACCATGTTTTTTTGCACACTATCCGTAGATATCATTTTTCAAAATAAAATGCATTGTTCATATAGAGGACGTTTCTGATAAAGGACATTGTTCATACAAGATAGTGTTACCTTGAACTTTTGTCTGGGTTTCCAATAAAAATATATAAATATCCACGGCTAAATTTGCAGCTCTTCATTCATTCATTCATTCTTTTTTTTTTTTACGGTATTTCACAATTTTGTTTATTTTATCTTTATTTTTTATAGTTCATATAATATTTAGTTTGACTTCCTGAGGTTGATAATCAACATTTTGTGAAGGTAAAGCACCTCTCACTGACCATTTACTGAAAAACAATCTTTCATATATATATATATTAATTAAATATGTAAATATACACTGTAAAAATTATTTTTCAAAGTTGTAAATAAGTAAGGAAAATACTCAAAATGTCATGTTTAATACAATGTGTTACTTGGCTTTTTTTGTAATTGTTTGTGAAATTTACTAACAATTTCTGAGAAAAATAATTAAATTACATTTTTTTTCAATGTTTAAATAATTTTTTAAAAATAGTTTTAGGCCAGTTTTGCTCTATATCTTGAATGATTTTTTATTTTTCTTAGCCCACTGGCGAATTGTTTTCTTCTTGTTTTAAGCATAAAAATCACAAAATTTTGTTTTGTTGATCGCAAATTTGGTTTGTTTTCTCATGGAGCACACAAACCTGATCCACGTTGCATCCAATATTTTGGAATATCCTCTCTAATCACACCGAAAATAGGAAATAGATTAAATTAAGGATTTCTTTTGGACTTAATGCATCTGTGGCTTTGTTTAAAAGATCATTTGCATTCTAAACGTGCTTTGCAGATGTGCACGATTACAGCGAGACAGATACTGATGGCTCCTTTCAGAGACCCCCACTGGTCGTAACACTCTGTGTAATGGAAAATGAAATGTGCATGTGATTTAAATTCATTATGAGCAACCCAGAGTGGGGAAGAAGATCCCTCTCAAGTGAATCTGATACTGAATGTTGTATTCCTTTGCTGCTTATCATTTATTTCATTTGCTGCATATAGATCTAATGTGACCGCTAAAGCATGGAGGAAACTGATAGTTGTTTAATTCATTGGCAATACAAGTGTGAGAAACAGTAATTGTGAAAATTTTTATCTGCAGCACCAACAAAATGTGGTTCAGAAACCTGATGCTTGCCTTAGTGATAAATCTTGTGTTGGATGCCAATATTGGTTTGTGGGCGGCATGGCACTCATGCAGGGTTGACTTTGTGGTTACAGGTCGTGAACTTAAACCTCATTTAGGTGATGTCAGTTTCCATTTGATCTCAGACTTATGGCCTCTACAGGACTCTTCTCAGAGCTCAAAGGTCTTGTCAGTTTAATCAGATTTTGGAGGCAGTGAAAACAAACACGTTGTCTAGTGAAGAATCTAAGGAAAAATGAAAAGCTTCTGCCGGTGACCTTTAATCCACGATGACAGAAAGACCTACAAAAGACCCTCAAAGATAACAGTGGTATATCAACACGAGTCCTGCACTAAATGTAAAAAAATCTCACAGACTCAGGCATATTGTTATGTGATTTTCATAATCTGTACTGTATATATATTTTTGGGTTTTCCACATTGTAAAATATGATTTTTCTGAAGTTGTAAATAAAAGAAAGATTATGTTTCACAAGAAAATACTATTTCAGTCTTTCTTCTTCAAAATGTAAAGTTTATTTGTTATTATTTGTGAAATTTACTAGCAATTTCTGAGTGACAATTGTTTCAAAGTAAATCCTACACCAATTATTTTCAGTGCAGTGAAAATATCCAATTAATATCCTTAAAGGGGTCATATGATGCTACATGCACTTTTACAAGTTGTTTGAACTGAGATGTGTGTAGGCAGTGTAGTTGTAGACAAGAATGACTCCTAAGTGAATGAGGTGTTCTGTTGTTGGATGTAAAATGAACATAGCAGTCGTCATTTACTCCCGACATCTGAGCCGCTGAAGACCCAGTGGATTACATTGTTTCTGAAGGGAATGCTCCCCCGATCTACATAAATGCGTCTATGTTCGCGCGAATCATTCATGATCCATCCTCATCTACAGAAGAAGTGAGTATAATGTTTTGTAATGAATCTTTGCAAATCGCCTTTCCTAATAATGTGCTAATTAGCAAGTTTCACGATGAATGCGGCTAAAGTAAAGTCAGACATATTTAGGTTTTCCAAGAATCTTTGCATCAGGATGTGAAAGTGCAGCAGTGAACAATCTATTCTTAAATAAACAAGTATTTGGTTCCCTTTTAGCCTTTTTTTATCTGGTATATTGGCTCTGTAGACTCCGTTCTGTAAAACATGTAATCATGTAAATTCTTCTTTGCACATAATGTTCTCATCATATGTAACATTTGTTTGAACACTGAAGTATATGTAGCTCATCTAAACATTCCTTTTTGATGAAGTATCCACTGAAGTGAACTGTACACTAAATGAGTCAGTAGATGGGGTGGGA